TTGCCTGAAACTTTGGAGAGCCGTGTTAAAGGTAGTAGGTGGCTCAGTGATCAAACTACAATAGCTTCCTAAAATGGTGTACACTTTGGGGGATTAATTTAAGCCCCATTAATTTTAATAGGTCTATGTATGACTAAATCTGGATCCAAGTCATTGCTTGGATATTGTTCATTGTTTCTTCCTTTTAAAGAGATGTTGCCAGTTTTGAGCCTAAAGGATTTTCTACACAATCCAGTCATTGTACCCAAAATGCAGTTTGTTTTTCTTTTGTTGCACCTATTCCTCGACTCCCCATATGGCTGCACGTCTGTTCCTTGCATTTTCGCTGCTAAGTGCTCAAAAGCACAGCATTTGATAAATGCAAAAACACAATGCTTTGTTTTTAACCTCTACAGCATCCTTTATCTTAATGCATGCCAATGAAGGCAACATAACATGCTTTCGTGAATAGTAAGTGCACCATACATGCTGTGCAAAATGCAATTGCATAAACTTGTGGGTATCATCAGTTGTTTTTTGTGATGCAGTTACTGCTTACAAATCCAACTCACCTTCCACCTCACCCAATTCCCCAAACATTTTGTGCTTATTTTTGTTTGTAGGTAGTTATTTAATTTTGCAGAGCCTCTGAACTGTCCAGTTAGAAAGTTAATAAATACAATTGTCGTATTCTCGATGCCTGTTCTCTGGCCTCTTCTAAGCCTCTGCACCTATATTCTAATAATCTCATGGTGTCTTCCATCTTCAACCTAATCCTCAGGCACACATTCAATATATATCCCTTCATCTCAGCAGTATATCCTTCCAGTAAGGCAGGAAATAGTTTGGAAACTTGCCATAGTGCACGAAGCACAGGAAAGAGGAGAGGAATTCCCAAGCCACCCCCTGGAATGTTCCTGCAAGTCAAAGGATATTGTGCCTTTTTGTTAGCTACAAGCAGCCATCACCTGTCAAATGGGGGCAAATGGGGGAGGAGAGAAGCTTCTTTGTGGGGTGGGCAGTGAGAAGAGCAGATGGTAACGGGCGGGTTCTTTCTCTTTTTTAATCAGCCTTGTTTGGCATTAAAGACAACAGATCCTCTCACAGCTTTGATTAAATAAGATTTATTTCCATAGGCAGCTGGCAGGCAGAATGCCTATCCCTTGGCAATAAATAAGACCCCTCCTCTAGCAACAAGCTGCCTCTGCTCTCCTCACAAACAAATGAGTGCGATTTCCAAGAATGAATTCCCTGAATCTTCCTCCCTGGCTCTCGCACTCACATGTTCTCGCCAACCAAATGTTCCAAAAGCTCCTCATAACTCCTCTTCCCACACAAAACAATAAATAATACAACCTATGAAAAGCCCCTGCACTTTTCCGTTATCCCTGAGAAATTAAAATGAAAAAGTGCTCAGAAAGAATGGAGACATTTCCTTTCCCAGAGGTCCTGTCAGCCATTGACAATTCCTTGGGGTTCCTGAAAAAACCCTTAGCAGTCTTAAAATGGTTTTATATGTCACTTTTGTACGTTTGTGTAGGGCGGGCTTATTTTTAAAATTGCATCTTTAAATAAGTTAACTGCCTTGGACAACCTGCTAGAACAGGGAAAGAGACCTTCTGGTCTGCAGCCTTCATCTGGTTTCTGGCAGTTCTTGCATGTGGCCTGCAGAGCCTCCTGAATTTCTTCAGGGGGACAGGGCCCTGACTGCCAAGGCCTGCCCCAGGGACCCCTGCTGTGTGTGTGCAGCCCAAAACTGAAGAGCAGCTGATACTGTGCCTTCCCCCATCTGGGAGGATGTAGGGCAGGCAAAGTAGCCCCAACCAAGACCACAGATGATGTCACAGGTGTGACCAGTCCCTCTGATGTTCCTGCACTCCAAAGTGTACCCCTGCATTTTTAGGATGGAAAGAGAAGAGTAAAAAAACCTTAAAGTAATGGGTGTGCCAGGCTCAAGCTTGTCTTGAATCTCTGGCTTGTGATCTGGAATTCCTATTGCACAGTCCTCAGTGTGCTGAGACTGGAAGTAGGGAGGGCAAAGAACACTGTATAAGCTCCACACTTACCAAGCCAGAAACAGAAAGCAGAAACAGAAACTAAAGGCAGGGAACAGAGCCGGTGCAAGACCTCCCATTGCTCTCTCTTCCTACCCCCAACTCCCTGATGGCCATGATGATGGTGGCAGTGCCTGCCTGCTCCTCCTTGCTTTCTCCATGAAGGTGGCAGCCACCATCCTTCTCTCCCACCACTGGCCTCTCTTCTCCCCACACACAACAACTGTAGTCACCTATTCCTTCCCTGCTGCTGTTGGTGGTGGCAGCTGCAGAAGTCCTTGCTGCTCTTCCTGGCTTCTCCCCCAGTGCCTTCTCTCTCCTCCTGATCATGACAACAGTGGCAAAGGGCCCACTCTCCCTCCTGTTTATCACCTGACAATAATGAGGGTAGCAGAGGCAGCACAGGAAATCTCCAGGGCCACATACCCTGCAGTGCACTGCTCTAAGGCGTCAAAGGAGAGGCTTCTGAGACGGCCTGGCAGTTGGGTCAGCTTCTCTGGAGAGCTGCTGCACTGGCTGCTTGTCCTTCTGAGCAGCCAACAGAGCTTCCCAGAGTCTACCTGCCTGACAGTGCCCTTTGAGGGCTACTCAATGCAAGACACTGGGTAGGTGGCACTTTAGAGTACTGTGCCAGGCACTTCTGCTGCTGAAGGAACATCTTTCCAGAGTGTGGAGCAGAGTGCACAGCTCTGACGGATGGAATCTGCCACTGTTTGCAATCCAGTGCCTGAGGCAGGGACTCACTGCACTTCATGGAAGGGCCAGTTCTACCCGGATGAGCTTAACAACACTGATAACGTATTTCTACTTCTATTGGCTCCTTTGCTAATCTACAACCCTCTTTATCCTCATACTAGAATTGTCCAGAGATGAATGAATGGCTGCTTGCAGTTGGAGGCATTTTCAAGGGTGAACTGGACTAGTCCAAATTGCACACAGCAGGGTCTAAGAGGTTCAACACAACTCAGGTGATGGGAACAAGGAGATAGAAACGTGTGACTGCAAAACTGGGATCACAAATGTTGTATGTTGGGAGAAAGCTAACTCTAGGTTTGTGAATTAAAAAAGGAGAGAGAGAAGTATTGTTCTTAAAGGCCAGAGGGCCATCAGTCAGCTAGAGCAACTGCAAAATAGTGGCCGAGGGGGCAGAGAGCCAGTGAACCATATGCAGAGACAACCTGCTGCGTAGACAAATACAAACCTCCATCTGCATTACTACAATTCAGGGGTTCTAACTGTCTAAAAACTGCTATTGTGAAATGGCTGGGAGACTGTAAATCACCCAGAGATCTACACCAGTAGATCCTGCCCTCTTCTGCTCCAGATGCCTCATAGGAATGGCACCCCTGAGGAAATGGCATTTTGGTGCAGGTTAGTCTCCCCTTGCCTGATGCCTTCCAGAGGATGTGGACTCTCCTCAGCCCTTGTTGCTACAGCCAATGGCCAGAGATTATGGGAAATGCAACCCAGAACATCTGGAGGGTAGCAGGTTGGGGTAGGCTATGCAGCAAAGAAAAGGCATTGCTCTGGCTAAGTGGAATTCTCCCAATTCTCCCCCTACTTAATTGCAGCCCTGACATGGGGAGGCTGCTTGCTAACTCTCTACACACTGAACCAGTAAGCCAGGAACTTACCTTCATCTTAACCATGGGCATGCAGAGACGTTTGTTTCATTATGGACAGAGCCATGCACACAGAATTTCAACTCTGTTGCACTGAGCTGTTTTAGAATGACTTAAGCGGTATTTTTTTAACATTTTGCTCTGCAGCAAGGGGGCTGCTACAAACTTTGCATCTCTGAGTTTGTGAGAAGGGTCAGTCAGCTCTCTAGAGGCAGCCAAGGAGTCCTGGATGTTCTTCAGAATAGAAAGCTCAGAAGTCCTTCCTTTAGCACAGAATGACCCAGGTATCTGGCATTACAGGAAGCACTCTCAAGCACTCAGCCAGGTAGGATGGTCTGGTGACTATTTGAAGAGCTTATTGAGCTTAATTCTCACTCATCTCTATTATGCTGCCCTGCTGGCATCTGGAGAGCCCAGTGGAGAGGACGGATTTAGGACAATCAAAATGAAGACTTAACCGGTGCTGCAGTCAGGTCTTTTTTGGCCTCCGATCCAGTTGTGTGCGTGGGGAGGGGGAGTTCTTTTATATGGCATCATGGATTACAATGTGGTAAACTAGCCCTGTTGCATTTGCCACTCAGAGCAGAGCGTGGCGCCGGGCTTCTTCCTCAAGGTCCTGCTCGGATAGTGCCGCTGTGGGTAACATACTTCTGTGTGTGGTTAAGTCCTAGCTGGGGGACAGACCCACTCTTGCCCCAGGATTCAGAACTGTCCCTTTTTCCAAGTCAGAGGGCCCAATTCTTAGTGGACCTCTCTCATTTTAACAGATGCAAAGCAGTAAGAATCGCTTTTCACTGTCCACTGAACCCCTCAAAGAATTATGAAGGAGGATGGGGGAGGGGAGGCTGAAATCCAAAAGCCCCACCCCGACCCTTTCCATTTTTAGCGATACTATGCCTTTTCCCCTGCTGCCCAACTTCCAAAAGGAAAGCTAAAAATCCCCTCTGCCCCTACCTCGGACTTTCTAAACGTCTGAAAGAAGAAAAGGAATGCCTTCTGAGTACTCCCTATGCAATAGGTGCACCTCCAAAGAGATGCGTGCAACAAAGGAAACTCAGGAGCGGACCTCATTGCCGGCTGAGCTTGGCTAGCACGCGTTGCACACCATTCAAATATCGGGGACGCTGACGCACGCCCCCTATGGGGACAGCGACAGCGGCAGCAAGGTTATTTGCAGCTAGCCGCTTTGATCGCGGGCGAGGCAGGGGGCGGGGCGGGAAACCTGAAAACTCTTGCATTCCTGACATAGCAGCAGCGTCTTGCGCAGTCCGGCCTCCCTGGCTTTCATTACGGTTGGAGGAGGCAGGCGCTGGTGCTGCAGCTGCGCTCAGTTAATTAGTTGCCTTCTTTGCAGTAGGGGCGGACACGAGCAGGCGCTGTACGACGGAGCCAGTAGACTTACATGCACGCGCGATACACTCACATTCACTCAGTCGCCGAAGGCAGGAGTTCGCAAGCCGCACAGAGCTTTTGCTGGGGTTTTGCGTCTTTGGTTTTTGCTTTTAAAATTTTCTCGCACGCTCCAAAGCCAGAGAAAGCACCGAGTTGGGGGGCGGCTGTGGGAGCGCCAACAGCGGAGTTTACGAAGCCATTTTAAGGGCTGCTATGGTCCGGTAAGTTTTACGCCGCCTTCACCGCTGTGACCGCACTTGCAAAGAAGAGGTGGCTGTGACATCTGCGGGAGGGGAGAGGAGAGAGCATGGCGAGCTGTTTCTTTCGCTCGCCCCTCACTGAGCAAAAGCCCTTCAAAAGCGATATCCTGTGGTAAATTTACCGTGCTGCCGCCGCCTCCATTCGGCCAGTGGTCTTGACAAGAGTGCGAACACGGGGGGCGAAGGGGCAGGCTTCCCATCCCACTCCCTCGCGTCCTAAATTTAAATCTGGGTATTCGTCTCCCTTTAACTCGCTTCTGTTTGTCCTTCGCGCGCGCGCCCCACGCGCCACGCTTTCCTCAACTACCGTCCCGCAGTTGCTTGATGTTTGTAACTGGCATGTCGTGTCAGGGAAAGTTTCTTGGAGAGGTGGAGTAAGAAGGTGCATAATCGGGCGTTGTTGATTTGAGTTGGGGGCGTGCTGGCGTTGCAGGTGCTGCTGGGGTATCCCCCGCGAGCTAACTCGCCTTGGCTTTTGTCTCGCTCGCTTGCCGCTGGCCGCTGCTTCTTGGAGCCCTGAGTCCTCGTTCTCACTTAACAGGAATGTTAATTGCAATCCAAACCCCTATGATGTCAGTGCAGAACTATTTGGAAAACAAAGAGCGGGCAGCGAGGCAGGGGAACTCGAAATACTGCGCAGATGGCAATCTGCTGAATGCGCTTCAGGCGGTCGCTCACTCGCTCTCCATTACGTGTGAACTGGAAGGCTGGTGGCGCGCGAGGGGGGCGGGATGGAAGAAGGAATGGGAAGAGCAGTAGTCTTCCTGTGTTCACGATGATTGCCCCCTAAACGGACCAAGGAACTTACCGTAGATCAATAAGCAAAATAAATACCAGAGAGACTTTGGTAGCACACGCACGCAGCAGCTCAGTCCCGGCCAAGTGTGCATGCCAGAGTGCAGCCTAAGGCCAAAGTCATGCACACTTTCCGAGGAGTAAGCAGCGTGGAACCCAGTTGGGACTTGAAACTTCCGAGCAGGTGTGCAAGGATTGCTCTGCCGTTGCTAGAGTTGTTTAAAGGTTTTCCAAGGCGCTTCTGTTTGAATTCGCTGCTAAAGAAAACTGAATGAGAACACGTTTCAGAGGAGTTAACCTGTTTAAGATAAAGGATGTCAAACTTCCTACGCTGTAGGAAATTGTTTTAGTAGTATTTGTAGCCCATCATTTAGCCCCCGTCATTAGGACTAAGCAAAGATCATATAAAAACGAGCCAATAACATCTGGCATTTTCCACTGTAGAAATACCAAAGAATAAGGAATTAACGTTCTCAGAATTAAGACTGTAAAGGGATTGTACTTAATGTATAGCTTCTTTCTTCTTCATTCGGGAGTTAAGTTGGGACGCGGTTCATCCACACTATTATACTCCAAACCTTTTACAGTACAGAGGGTTAGTTTTATAGCATCTGAAGTGATATTATAGAATGGAATCAAAGGTAAATGTGCTTTTCGTAGAACTGTGCATCTCCTCATGGTTGTTCCCAGAAAGGACTGAAACAGCGTGGCCCCATTAAACCTATTTTGTCCTTTCTGTGTCCCCAGTTACCAAGCAGCAGTGCTGTGTCATATGCAAAATATTATTAAAGCCAGTGATTTTATGTAAAATACTATTAAAGTGTCATGTGCAAAATATTATTAAAGCCAGCATGTACAGAGTGGTGTTCCTTGTGAAGAGACAGACAGCCGCCAGACATCTGGGACCAGAAGGCAAGACTTTCCAGGACAGAAGGCGTTGTTGGTTTCAAACTTCTTTTTGAGAAATCAACTACTGATCGCTTTGTAGCAGCAACAATACCTTCTTTGTGAGATTTCTCATTTAGAGAAATAAGCCAGAAAGTATTTTTGTAGTCTGCTTTTTATTCTGGGGTGGACTAAAATATTTGTGCCTTTGAGTGACTTTGGGCTCCTTTCTGGTGAAAGATTACAAAACGCCTGTGAATTGAGTTGGAGAAAGGAGGGATTTTCCCCAACCAATTTCATAGATGGTCCTCTATAGGATATTGCAACTGGAACTAGAGCTGTTGTTCAGGTAACACTATTGTCCCATTAGGAAGGATACCAGTGGGAGCACCTTATATGTGACTCTGAGCAGTTTATAATGGAAACAAATCATATCAAACAAAACTTAAAATGTCATTGACCATGTTTGCATTCTTCTATTCCTGCAAGGAGCTCATTGTAGAAGTACATGGAAGTTGTGTCATTGAATTGTGTCCAATATTAATCCTATTTAGAGTACACCAATTTAAATTAATGGGATGTAATTAAGTGCCATGCATTTCAGTGGGTCTGCCCTCGGTAGGACTAACATTGGACATTATACACATAATATCTTCACAATAACCCTGTATAGTAGAGTAAGGGAGATAAGATTTTAAAACTGGATTTTAGTGCTCAAGTGAGAGTTCTCTTGAACATTCAAGAAGACATAAAATTGGCTTCTGCCAGCATTGTTTTTCAAGCTGTGCTGACCTCTGTTTTCTTCACTTTCAGAATCGTTTGGCTGGAAAAGGGCTGCTAGATTCCAGGTGTTTTTGGTGCCTTTGGCAAGTGCTGGTGGACCACCAGTTCGCTGAGAATGAGGACAGCTGAGGATTCCTCTGGAACTGTCCTTCACCGTCTGATCCAGGAGCAATTGAGGTATGGCAACCTCACAGAAAATCGTACGCTCCTGGCAATACAGCAGCAGGCCCTGCGTGGAGGAGGAAGTGGTGGTAGCCCACAGTCCTCCCTTGAGAGTCTCACCCAGGAGGAGAGCCAGATGGTTCAGCAATCCACACGGCAGGAGCCCCAAGGCCAGGAACACCACGGTGACCACCTGTATCTGGAGAATAACATGTATCGACTCTGCCAGCCTCAGCACAAGGGAGAGGAGCTCCCCACCTATGAGGAAGCCAAAGCCCATTCCCAGTATTACGCCTCACAGCGAGGACAACAGGCCATGGCAGCCTTGTCTGGGGTGCAGGCTGAAGGAGGACAACGCAGGGCCTATGCTTCTGACACCAGCAGCGCACATCAGGATGAGTCTTTGAAAGAGCTGAAGCGTGGACATGTGCGGTCACTCAGTGAGCGGCTCCTGCAGATGTCACTTGAGAGGAATGGAGCCAAATCTCAGAACCACATGAGTTCCTCTCACAGCTACCCCCAGCTTTCTAGGAACCATCAGCTCTCTGTCTCCAGGGGAAAGCCCTCTGAGACCCCAGAGGTCCGTGGTCCTCCTCCAGAATATCCCTATGTAATCCCTTCACAGGAGGCATCAGGCAGTTACCTCCCAGATCCCAGACACCACTACAGAGAAGGTCCAGGATTTCAACATCCTGAAATCAGGTAACACATCATATTAGTAAATGAAGACCTTCTCCGAGCTGGCACCTTTGAGTTGTCTTGGACTATGGCTCCCATCACCACAGCCTGCTGGATGAGGGTGATGGGAGTTGTAGCCAAAACCACCTGCATGTCCCCAGAAAAACTTGTGACATGGATTGTGTTTACTTGATACAGACTAGAAATCCATTTGTGGCTGAGATGCTCCTGGTGTTCTGTTCCTTTGCTTCATACAATTATCCCTTCCCTATGATTATATGGAAAGCACCTTCCCTTTTTGTTGTTCTTCTCAGAGAAGGGAAGTGGTTATGGAATGTAACCAATGCAAAGGGAGTGTGGAAATACACTGATGCAAAAATATGTAAGGATTTAGTTTGACAAGAATAAACTAGGTGCTTTTTCTTCCAAATTTATCACTTTTTTAAAGGAAACGGCCCCTTTTTTACCTTTGGAGGTTCCTTTGAATGTATGGCTCATTTCACTTTGGAAGCTATTGGTATGGTGCAAAGCAAACAAGATCTACATTTTGGTTAATCCTGTTCTCTCTTGTCCCAAAAAAGTGACAAAGTTAGTCTGAGTTGCATAGAAACACCCGAAGAAAGTAAAGAATCTGTGGGAAATGAGGGGTGGCTTATTAATACCCACCCTTGTCTGTGAACATAAGCAGTGAGGAACCAGAAGGCACATGTGGCTTTGTCTTGGCTAAACTGCACTGCAACATTCAACTAATTTGTAAATGTAAAGGAGTAGGAGTTAGGGTAACCATCTTCGTGTTTCTTTATACTCAGAAAGGTGGTGCTTCTGAGGCTAATTCTGAAACAGGTGCACACATGATTGGGGGGAAGTTGTGATATGCCCAGTGGAGGTATTTGTGGTTACTTAACAGGGTCTTTATTTGGAATGCAGGAAAGTTAAGTGACAGTGCTTTTGGAGATGGTATCCAGGAGACCATGGCAAGTGCTCAGAATATGAGTGGAAGTTTAGCTTAGGACCCCATATCCTTCATATATGATTGCCTTCCTGAGATTAGGAGTTGTGGCACCAACAAGGAATGAGTGTGCTGAAGGCTAATCTAGAACAATGTACTGTATTCTGAAGTCATCCTATCAGGTGCTTTTCTGTTGTTTTGCAGGGGTCTTAGGACTGCATTTGTAAATGCTTTCACAATTGCCAGCCAGTCTTTGTGACAAACTGACAAGTAATAGCTTTAAAGAAAGATGGGAAGGGGGTGGGGGAACAGAACCGTAATTTCTCACTGTGAGGCCAACTATGGGGAATGCTGACAGGAAGAGATAATGTTGGAGACAGGAAATAGACTCTTTCCGTGGGAACAAAAGGGCCTATGGCTGTATGCTTGAAGGAAGGTGCATATTCTTGCTCATTCCAAGTTTGCTACACAAGAATGCCTGAATAAGTCCTATAAGGCAGGCTTCAGTCAGATGAGGCCATGTCTTCTCAGGAAGCACCTTCCTATTCAGGCACCAGGATGGAGGCCATGTTGAATTCTAATAATTTCAGTCTGGCTGCTGCAGATGACATTCAGAAATTGTTAGTGGCTGCCTTCATAGTTATTTCTTTTTGGAGCACATGGTGACTATTCCTACATTGACTAAATTATACATTTCAGAATCTCAAACCAAATTTGACTACAAGGAACTGGATTACAAGAGCATTCTAATGCAGTCTAATTCACCCATTTTGTTTCTCTTGATAACTGTGTTAATTTGAATGCTTCAGTTTAAGGCTGCTATCTTTTGCATGCTTACCTCAGATTGAAATGTTTTTAATTTTGAGTATATGGGCATATGAGTCTGCTGTCAAGCTCTTTTGGTAGAAGCTCATTTGCTTGGAAATAAGCTCCATTTACATAAATGGAGCACCAAGCAAATAAGGTTTAGCTGCATGGCAATCAGTCTTGCTGGATAATAAATGAATCCCTGTATGGAAATACCAAAGCACTTCAAACCAACACATTCTCCTGTATACATTTTGCAATGCAAATGTATTTGTAAATGCAAAGGCTTAACATGAGAATTGTGTTGAGCAACTGCCTCTCTCCTTGCTGTTCTTGGCTTCTCCTTGTTTTAAGCACTAACCTTTTGATTATATAATGTTTGCTCTTTAAGCCATAATATGGCCTCGATTTGAAAAAACATTTCTGCATACCCAAGTTCTGATTCTGGCCATTCTAAATAGCCCATGTTTTTTGTGGGGACTAGGGCTTGACCAGAAAGTATGATTTTTTTCTTAGGTAGGTGCCACTAACTAATGTCATGGACTCTGCATTCTGTAACATGAGTTGTCTTCTCAAAAATGAGAAGGGGGTTATTCATAGAATATTTTGTACATGTAATAACTAAGAGTAGCAATTTCAAAGAAGTGGTGTACTTCCAATAAACCTAAGGGGCTGGGGGATCAAAAGTACAAGTGAGGCAGAAGAAGAGTGTAAAGACGTTTCCACTGTCTGACTTTTTCCCCTAACCCTGTTCTATCAGGACAGTGGAAAATTAATGTGGAATGTTCATAAAGCTCTTATCTTAAAGTATCAGAAATCCAGGGTGTAAAATCACTGAGGCCTAGTGATTTATGCTGCATAGTATAAAGAGCTACATATTTGTATAGTATTGGACAAATAATGGTGCTGAGGCCTTCCTGCTGCAAAGTCCTTGCCTTTAATTCTTCCTGTACTTGTTTTTCTAGGGTGATACAGGCCCAGATGCCCCAAGCTTTCCTGCCCCCACAGGCTGCACTGTGCCCCAGTCCTCTGGCATCACTTACTTCCACTGGGGTGGACGCCCTTATGTCAGCCCAGGCTGCCCCTGCCAATAACCATTTGTCCCAAATGGAGGCTGTGTTGGTGGAGAATGAGAAAGTGCTGAGAGAGAACGAGAAACTTCAGAGGGAGAATGAGATGCTGCGGAGGGAACTGGAAAGTTATGGTGAAAAGGCTACGCGGATCCAGAAGGTAAAAAAAACAGACTTTGCTGAACCCTTTTAAGTAGCACTTTTGAAAAATCTAGAGTGATCACTTATCCATCAACCAAAAAGAGTAAATATATTTTGCAAAAAGATCTCAATCCATATAATATTTTGATATGCAAATTTATGTGCATATATGCAAATTGGGAAATAGCTACTAGTTAAATAGAAATACAAGACATCTCACTATTGTGGAGAAGAGTGACCAGGTGACCTGTATGCTTGCTCAGTCTGCTGTCCAGGTGCTGAGTGTTGATGGAAAGCTTCAAGGTCCCTACTTCTCTCCCTCCTTAAAATTATAACACGTTAATGTGTTACAAGCCAGAGCACATTCAAATCAGGAACTGTTCTTTGCCAGCTCTCCAGAACACTTGGCCATCCTAACCAGAGCACATGCAGATCCACATGTAGGCTGAAGCAGTTCTAGGCAAGGCATCCCATGTCTGTCAGTCACCCATCAAGATGCTTGAATTTGGATCCATATTTAATGCGAGAAACTGATACCTTAAAGCTGTTTGCAGGCCACCTCTCCTCTAACTTCTTGCTGGCAGCAAGATTATGGAGATTCCGGTTTTATACTCTCTTAACTGAAAAAGTATCACAGTCAAAATTGTCCTATTTTCATGCCACTTAAAAAGAAAGAGGAATGAAGTACCTCATTTCCCCCAGTCTGATGATTTAGAAACAATAGCAGAGAGTGAAGTAGATCACAAGGAATTTAATATAGGGTATCACTGAGGAAAGCCTGTCCAGCTCCTGTGCATCCACAGCTGTTCCTGTTTCACTGCTAAAATGATCTCTTCAAAGTGATAATGACCCTGTCTGAGTAACACTCATTAGTTGGGGCACTATGAAGTGGTGAGATACTCTGGCTGGCTACCCCAGCTCACCTTTTTAAAGTGGTGCTCCTGGTGGTCAGCCTTGAAGGATGTTACTAGGCATTTAAATAACAATGATGTAACAAAGCATTTGCCAGATGTGTCCTTTGCCACTATTTCAGCAGTTCTCAACCTGATAGCCTTCCAATATGTTGAACTTCAGCACTCCTAATTCCCTGCCAGCATGTCCATTGTGGGAGTTGCAGCCCAACATATCCGGAAGGCTGCAGTATTTTGATGAAAGAACTATTTTATGCTGCAGTGTGCAGTTGTTAAGGAAGCTATTTCTAGATCAGAAGTTGGAAATTCTACCCCAGGAAGCTAGATTTTACCCTCTTGGGTTATAGTTTTGATCTGTCTCAGTTTTGTCTATTTCTGATGAGCCATCGCACTCTAGGTTTTTTTGAAAGGTTGTTTCCATTAGCCTGCTTCTTAGTCATTTTAATTGGAGATGCCTGGGAAAGAGCATGGGTGATTTTGTGTGTTGGGCACATTCTTTACCACTGATCTGTGGCCCTTCATATCCTAAAACCATCCTCCAGTTGATGAGTTATCATGAACCTCATTGGGAGTGGTTTTTACATCCTTACCACCACCTCCTTGTTTGCACTTTCCTGGAGGTCACTAGTACAATTTTTGATGAGGAGAGGCAGGTCAGGGTTCAAATATGACTAATAGCTCCAGAATGTGTCAAAGCATGGAGGCATGTTGCAGAACTGGTACTGAAGCAGCAGAGCCCGAGTGTTGAGGATTAGAATGGTCTGTTCTAAGAAGAGAGGGCAGAAAATGGCTGGGTGAAAAGTTGGCTCCTACCAAAGACCTCTCAGTTCCTGCAGTGTTCATTCCTCTGGTTAGGAGAAGATTTACTTCTGATCCCCTGCTGTTAAACAAACAAACAAACAAAAGTGGCCATATCAAAGCCATTATGCAACAGTTATTATAGGGGCTCAGAAAATGCCACACAATTTCAGCCCTCTCTTCAGACACATTTCCCCAAATTATCTCTCTTGTCTTTTGATTCCCAGAAACAGCTGTTGTGAAAATACATCTCCTTTAACTTTTTTGATTATTCTCCTGTCTCCCCACCCCCACTCCCCAGCAACACACACAGTTAACAGCTGTGGAGCACAAGCACAGGGTGCACAGCAGGACTTAAGCTGGAGCAGTTGTTGAGTGGATAGAAAAGCGTGCATTCTCCACCTCTATGAACAGTTGTGCCCTCCCTTTATTGGGCCCTGCCTCAAGGGGTCTGCACAGAAAGTCTTTTGTGCAGAAGCACACAAGGAGAGGCCTGTTGCAGCCCAGTTTCAGCCAAGGGCGGGGCTCCTTCACTCTGACCCAGAGAGTTATTTGCGGACTGCAGGGGGCACGTGCCAGAGCTGCAGAGGTGGAGATGCAGGGAGAATGTGCCAAGCTTGCAAAGGAAAGTGGTAAAAATGGAACATGTAATTGGATGTCAGGACCCTGCCAAGCTGGGGTTGTACGGAGGAGGGAGAGACGAGTAAGGGAAGATGGCAGAATGTATGCAAGTGACTGTCACGTTGTCTAATAAGAAGAAATTGCTTTGCTTACCTGTTAAAGGTTGTAATTTTGAAAATCTGATTTCAAGACCTTAGGGTCATGGTTTTGTCAGAGCATCTCTTTCTGTGCTTTTCGCTCCCTGCAACTGCAGAAAACAAAGGGAAAGGGCTGCAGCCAGCATTCACGATTTTACTGTGCATTCTCAAACAAGTGCTGAGCCCTGTCTGACTTCAGCTAGAGCTTGCAGCCTCAGCAGTATGTTGGATAGTTCAGTGAAGCAGCAGAATAGGGGGGTGGGCATTCTGAGCCAGCAGATAAGAGATCAGATATGTACACTGGCCTGTTTAAATTACCTTGGAGTAGAGTCTAATACAGCTGACACAGCCTCTGCATAAAGCATTTTTGGCAGGCATCTGTAGGGGGGTGGGGGGGCAGGGCAGGCAAAATTCTCTCTCTCTCTCTCTCTCTCTCTCTCTCTCTCTCTCTCTCTCTCT